ACACACACACACACACGCACACACACGCACACACACAGACACACACACACACACACAGACACACACACACACACACAGACACACACACACACAGACACGCACACACACGCACACACACAGACACACACACACAGACACTGACACGCACACACACACTCAGACACACAGACACACACACACACAGTATATTCACTGTCACATGTATTTTTAAACAGGACACAGACAGAAAGCCTCTCATTAGTGAAGAGCATACAGAGGTCAAGAGACATGACCTTGATCGACACTGGCAGAGAGACTCCATCAGTGGAGACCAAAACCACCAGAAAACCAGATTTAAACGCAGCCTCTTCTCTGCTGCTACAAACCATCCTTCAAAAAGCCAGAGAGTAAGTGAGAGCTAAACATGAAAGAATATATACTACTGTTCAAATGTTCAGGGTCAGGCTGCATTTATTTGATCAGTAAAAACAGTCATATTGTGATATATTATTACAATTTAAAATAACTGTTTTCTGTGTGAATACATTTTAAAATATAATGTATTCCTGTGATCAAAGCTGAATTTTCAGCATAATTACTCCAATCTTCAGTGTCACATGATCCTTCAGAAATCATTCTAATATGCTGATTTGCTGCAGAAGAAACATTTCTGATTATTATCAATGTTGAAAAGTTGCTAAATATTTTTATGGAAACCCCAATACAATAATTTGTTTCAGGATTCTGATGAACCGAAGGTTTAAAAGAACAGCATTTATTATTTGAAGTAGAAATATTTTGTAAATGTCTCTTATAAATGTTTTCTTCTGTCACTTTTTATAAATGTAATGCATCGTTGCTGAATAAAAGAATGTTGTTCTTACGAATATGTTCTTTCAAACCAAAAACTTTTGAATGGTAGTATACATATATAAATATAAACATATATATATTTTGTGTTGTTTTCTTGGGATTGAAGTTAATATCAAATATGAATTACACACATGGATTCACATTTGTCTTGTCTCTCTGCAGAAGGCGAGCAGCTCAAAGAGGTTGTCAGTTTGGGACATGTCAGGTACACAACCTGGCGAGCAAGTTATACCGAATGGGTCAGAGCAACGGAAAAGACGAATCCAAAAAGGCAAATGACCCAACAGGATATGGACGCTAAGAATACACATCACAGATGAGCTTCTGCTCATTCTTCAGAGAACAGAATGTATTTGACTGGTACTGCTCAGGATGTTTCTATATAAAAAAAGAGTTCAAATAAGTTAACTATTTGTATATCGTATTAACTAAGATATTGCATGTCTTTGATAGACTTTGTTTAGGCTGCTCTTATTGTATAAAGGTTATACGTATTCTATTAAAAAATGTACATGAAGTTGACAAAAGTATAATGAATAAATAACATTTATGGTCTGCAGTTTGTGTTATCCAACAATATAACATAGTTATTTTGCTCTTGTGAATATAAAGGATATCATGGGGCTTTAAAAGTATATATATATTAGTGCTGTCAAACGATTAATCGCGATTAATCGCATCCAAAATAAAAGTTTTTGTTTACATAATATATGTATGTGTACTATGTATATTTATGTATATATAAATACACACACATACAGTATATATTTTGCAAATATTTACATGTATATACATTTATATATTTATATTATATATTAATATAAAAACATAACATATTTTCTTAAATATATATACATGCATGTGTTTGTATTTATATATACATAATAAATATACACAGTATACACACATATATTATGTAAACAAAAACCTTTATTTTGCATTCGATTAATCGCGATTAATCGTTTGACAGCACTAATATATATATATATATATTTGGTACTCAAAATATTTGGCATATTTTAATAATATGTCAGTATAAATTAAAAATAAAGAATGAAATCGTTATGATTAAAAATAAAATTTACAAAAAGTGATGAGGGGGACATTTTAGGGCAAAAATGGTGTTGCTGAGCCTCCATCCCAGCCCTAATTTTAATTAAATATTTATTTTATTTGTTAAATAATTAAATCTAAAATGACACAGGTATATAATGTATTTCTTAAATATTATATATATCATTTAATAATAAAATATAAAAAAACACAAGATCAAAAATTACGTTGTACACTAAATCATGAATCAATATTGTGAGCAACAAGCAATGAGAATTTTGTTGACTGTGATTTTTTTAAAACAACCTACCCAGATAAATACCTTGTGTAACGGGCAATGAACCGTCTTTTTTCCTCCACTCACGTGGCTCTCCTCAGTAACCACACCCTGCGCTGGTTACACCTGATTTCTCAGGTAGCCGAGTCTCGAGCGTTTAGTCTCGAGCGATGGACATCACGCGCTGCAGCAGCAGAGCGCTCTGAGGTGAAACTCACGACAAACAGCGACTTCATAAAGTCCATAAACAACGCAAGATGAATGAAAATGAAGTTGAGGAAGGTGCAGTGGCCCTGATGCCAAAACGAGATCTGGTAGGTCTGTCAGAAAACTGCTTACCGCACCTGTAGCTACAACCGAAGCACTTCTTTGCCTTGATTTTGTGTTGTTACAAGGATGCTCCGGCCGTTTAATGGTAATTTCTTATGTTATTAATAATGCAAAGAAAGACTGCTTGCAATTCGGTATCGCTTTGATTTAATGTTGGCAATGAGCAGGACTGCAGGGAGTTTCTCTAAAACAACATACCATGGGTTATTACAAGACTGTGCATGTGCTGCTTCATCATTGGTCATATTTTTACCAACTACAATGTAGGCTACATGTTACAGCGCAGTGACATCTGTTGTACTTTTTAAATGTATTATAAGTGTTTAAAGGGGTCCTATTATGCTCTTTTACAAAGTCTTGATTTTGTTTTGGGTGTGTACTAGAACATGCTCTCATGCTTGGTGGTTCGAAAAACGCATTATTTTTCACATTATTAAAGTCCCTTTCGCCCCAGGCTGGCACAAACGGCTCGATTAGTTCCGGCTTTGATGAAGGTCCGCCTTCCGAAAAACAAAATGTGTTGTGATTGGTTAGCTGTCCCTGTGCGTTGTGATTGGCGAACAGCTTAGACGGTGTTTCAGTACTGCCACGCCCCTTGCTCCGTCTTTCAGCAAAAGCTTTTGGCGAATCCGGCACTGTACTCCCTCATGTTGTGGAAGCTGTCCTCAGTAAAATGCGCAGCACACAATAGCAAATTGGGGTTATAATGCTCAGGAACAGAGTTAAAAAGTAAATTGCAACCACTGTTTCCTGACATCATCCGCTTTCGGAAGCCCAAACAAAGACGTTTGGACACAGAGGTGAAAAAACAGCGTTTCAGGCGGTCGCGCACCGGACGAGAAGCGCAGCGTCGCGCCACGTCTTTAAAATGCAAATACATTGTTCTATAAGTGTAGGCACACCGGCGGCGCCGTTCGGCTCAACCAAGCGTTCTAACCACAACCTCGCCCCTCCCCACCCCCCAACCATTCCAATTTCTGCAGGCGGGAATTATTTGTAATGATATTCTAATGAGCCGCTTTGTGATATCATAAAGCCCGGAAACCAAACGCTGTAGTCCAAACGAGCCATTTGCTGTAGTTCTTGAAAATGGATTTTTAAGAAACTAAATATCTCCCTTTGGAGTGGACTTTGAGATTTGTAACTTTCTAGATCTTTTTTATGCCCAAACATACACACTACACACTGACTAAAATTAAAAAAGTGAAAAGGCATAATAGGACCCCTTTAAAATATATTATGATTTTGTGGTGGTCTTTGTTTTAAAGGGAGCACATTAAAACCCCTATTTACATATACAGTAAAGTAAAAAAAAAAAATTTGTTTTCAGATTTCCATCTGTTGTTTATATATAAAGATAGTTTATGACATAAACAGGGTAAAACATTAATTTTCAATTTTATGGATTTTAAATTCCATGTTCTACTTAAGTAATTCAATTCTAATCAATGTATTCAATTTTAGTAGGTTGAATTTTACAGTATACACAAAGACACACACGTTGGTTTTTATGGTTTACAGGGACTCTCCATAGGCAAAATGGTATTTTCTATCACCCTACAACGAAATCTACCCCTCACAGGAAACTTTGTGCATTTTTAGATTTTCAAAAAGACTCATTGTGTATGATTTGTAAGCCTTTTTAATTACGGGGACACCAAAAGTGTCCTTATAAATCAGCTTCATGTTGGAATACCTATGTCATACCCATGTCATTATACAAATTGGTGTCCTCATAAACCACAAAAACAAGCTCACATCACAAACTGCATTCATTAAATAATTAATTCTCAGAAGATGTACCTTGAACAGTTTAAAGTTCTTATCCCATTTCTCCAAAAAGAATGACCCCATATTCCTCTAAAGTTTGTGCTTTGGTGTTTCAGTGTTCCAGACGAACACTGCAGGGACACCAAACACAAAGTTCTTATAGTCTAAATAAGTGATGAGGTTCTATAAAGGGTAAACTGGTTTGGCTTGCTTTCTTGATGAAAGGAGTGGGTGGGGACCTAATGATGAAATTACAAGTGGAGTCAGGGTAAAGTGAGCCATTTAAACCTATAGTTTTGTGACTGATGAAATCAAATAGATAAGATGATAACGCATTAATTTAAGTTTTCATTTGTTAACTATTAGGCTATTAGTTTGCATGAACTCACAATGAACAATGCTTCTTTATCTTTTCACCTCAAGTATGAATATTTCACCCAAAGGTCACCCACAGATAAATACTTGCTGAAAATTGACTCTCTCTGAGGCCAGCTAAAATGTAAAATGTTGTTTCTTCATCGAAACTGATTTGGAGAAATGTAGCATAGCATTCCATCACTTGCTCACCAGAGGATGCTCTGCAGTGAATGGGTGCCGTCAGAATGAGAGTCCAAACAGCTGATAAAAACATCACAATAATCCACACGACTCCTGTACATCAATTAACGTCTTGTGAAGGGAAAAGATACATGTTTCTAAGAAACGCTTGTGGATTATTGTGATGTTTTTATCTGCTGTTTGGACTCTCATTCTGACGGCACCCATTCACTGCAGAAGATTCATTGGTGAGCAAGTGATGCACTGCTTAATTTCTCCAAATCTGTTTCGATGAAGAAACAAACTCATGTTTGAGGATGTTAAATTTAAGCATATTTTTGGGTGAAATATTTCCTTAATATTATTCATGGTTAATTTTAACATTTATTTATACATATTAAAAATAAAAAAGTTGCAGTTCTTAATATTAATCAATGCACTGTGAACTAACATGAACATGCAATGAACAACTTTGCTTCTCCTAACATTAACAACAATTTATGAAATACTATAAAAAGTATTTGCTCATTATTAGTTCATATTAGCTATTACATTTACTAATGTTAATGAATGGGATACTTCTGTAAATTTATTGATTTTAGAGCTGGATTCCAAAATTATTGAAGAAGAGAGTGTGCACGACATTTGTGGAGGACTCTTTCAGGTAAGATGGTTGACTATTCGGAGTATCCAGTATCTTTTCTGTAGAACTGTCAGAGCACAAATCCTCCGTCTGTTCTTTTGTAGCAATGGCGGTCGGTGTCAGTGTGGGGCCACGCGGGACTCCCATCCTTCAGTGGCCTTGGGCGATTACTTCAGCACGGCCATCGTCAGTCACTGGGATAGCACACAGCACTCCTCCGAGCAGCCCACAGATGCCTATGGAGAGCTGGAGTTTGCTGGGGCCGGCAAGAGACACAGCTATGTGAGTTCCTCATGCATATGTTCAAATTAATGGCACTGTGGTAGTGAGCCTGGATGAATCCTGTATGAGCTTTATATAAAACAAAAAACTTAGATACTGGTGATATGGATCACATGGATAATAAAGAATGACACTTTGGTAAACAAAAAAAAAAACAAAAAAATATATATATACAGTGCTAGCCAAAATTATTAGAACACTAGTATTTTCACCAGCTAAAAATGGTTGAGTCAGTTATTTCTATCTTTTGATGTAGTGTGTCAGTAGGAAATATCAGTTTACATTTCCAAGCATTCATTTTGCCATTCATTTTAATAATCCAGTGAGATTTTTGTTTGCACAAGGAGTCTGACAACAGCCAGTGCTCTGATCTCATCATCATCCAGTCTGTTTGGAATGACATGAAGAAACAGAGCAAACTGAGTCAGACTCAATCCAGAAGAACTGGGACAACGTCTCCAAGATGCTTCAAGAAACCTACCTGCAAAGCTACAGTACTGTTAAGACTTTTAGGCACTTGTGTAAAAATGCTGTAAATTGAGGATGCTGTCAAAAATAATGTCATAATATAGATTTTCTTTATCAATTACCTTCTATTAACTAAATGTAATCAACATTTGGTGTGACCATCCTTTGCGTTTAAAGGTGCTGTATGTAAGTTTTTGACTCTACTAAAGCATAAAAATACCATAATATGTTTGCAGATATTTAAGAAACATGCTAGGTTAACATACTTGTTTATCTGAAAAGCAATGCTACAGTCAGTTATTTTCCTTTGAAAATGTACGTTCCGGGCCAGAATGTCTGTCTTTGTTTTGGTCTGTGTAACGCACCCACTGCCAGTTTACGCAATTGTATTTTGGCACCCTTGGTTGCCAGTTGGTGGAAAATACAACATATTTAATTTCATTCGTCATGTGCGCTCGTTCCTGTTGATGTTGTCAATCTGGCAACCTGCGTGTGCATCAAGTCAGAGGAGGAGGAGCCGGGTGAAAAAAACCCCCTCCAATATTTTAAATTTGGACTGCAATAGACTGTCAATCCTACAAACAGTACCTTTAAAGTAGGGCTGCACGATAAATCGCATGCGATATTTAACGCGCATCTTGTCAGTAAAGCCGGTTCTTTAATCAGCGGTAAATCTCCATCACGTGCAGGCTTTCACATGGAGCAGCATTAATTACACAGAGCCGTTGTTCACCGACAAGCTGTGCAAAATATGATTGTGGTTTTGCGCAGCTAGTCAGTTAGCTGATGCAGCTAGTCAAAACCGGCTTTACTGACAAGATGCGCATTAAATATCGCATGCGATTTATCGTGCAGCCCTATTTTAAAGCAGCTTTTGCCCTAGGTCAAGGGTGTCAAACTCAATTCCTGGAGGGCCGGAGCCCTGCAGAGTTTTGTTCCAACCCTGCTCCAACATGCATACCATGTAGTTTTCAAATAAGCCTGAAGAACTTGATTGGTTGGATAAGGTGTGTTTAATTAGGGTTGAATCTAAACTCTGCAGGGCTCTAAACTCTGGCCCTCCAGGAATGGAGTTTGACACCCCTGCCCTAGGTGAACTTGTGCATAGTTTTTCAGGTAGCTTTGCAGGTAGGTTTCTTGAAGCATCTTGGAGACGTTGCCACAGTTCTTTGCATGAACCAATCACAGCCAAATATAACCAGTCATATTGCGATGGAGGCATTGCCTCCTCTCACATGACTTTCCCCCATTCATTCTAAATTACACCCCACTAAACCCACGGCATGCTAAGTGGGTCTTTGTTGTAAGTCTATGGACTGAAGGGAGGCAAGCCTCCGCTGTAACTTTACCCGCGGGTGTCGCTGTTGGACAGTATTGTTGTAATATCGATTATTTTCTCATCCAATTTTATATATATATATATATATATATGTATAT